AGGCAGAGCAGGAGAAGCCAAAGGAAGTGCTGGGTAGTATGTCTTGTCTTACAGGGAGGAATGGCGGTTCTTAAAAACAGATAAAAGACATCCAGAGGGCTAAGTAAAGTCAGCATAAAGTAAAAATTTAATAGAAGAAAATGATTTAAAATAAAGCAGGAAGTCAAAGGGTATTTGAATTGAGAAAACACCTGGGAAAAAAGTATCAGAAAGACTCTGGAAAGAATAAGTACATCAGACTGAGGGACAGCCGGGGACAGAAGTGGTATGCACACTGACTTGCTGAAGAGCCCAGGATGCCAAATGCTGCACACTGAGATGTTTCGCCAAGAATGTACTATATTACCTAATCAGCTAGCAGTTCATACTTGTGACCTGGGAGGACCTAACTCTGGTTTGTCTCCCACCACAGACCTGCCAGCAGGCTGAGCTCAATCATTCATTATACTTGAGATTGGATGCAATTATTTGCAGATCTTTTTCTAAAAGATTTCATTTATTTATTTTTAGAGAGAGGGGAAGGGAGAAAAAAAGGGAGGGAAAGAAACATCAATGTGTGGCTGCCTCTTGTGCACCCCCTACTGAGGACCTGGCCCATAACCCAGGCATGTGCCCTGACTGGGAATAGAACCAGTGACCCTTTGGTTCACAGGCTAGCACTCAATCCACTGAGCCACACTGGCCAGGGCTGGAAATCTTCTGAGGGATTCAATTTCATCACAATTACAACAAGGAAATGTGATGATATAAAGGATTCAGAACAACTACAGAAATACAGGTTAACTCTGGCATGAGCAACTCACATGTGAATAGCTTTCATTTCTTTTACCCTAATCATTGACTCTTTCAGTTCACTGGAGTTATGAATTAAAATTTTATCTCATAGTGACAATGAAAGAGAGGAAGATGACAGGAAAAAAACACATCGAAGTGCTGGCAGGACACTTTCAGATAAAGAATGTGGACTCTTCCTCTCCCAATACCTGATGAAGCAAACACCAAATAAAAAGAACAAATTTAAAAAGCAAAAACTGCCCTGGCTTGTGTAGCTCAGTGGATTGAGCGCGGGCCTGCGAACCAAACAACCGTGGTTGACTCCCAGTCAGGGCACATGCCTGGGTTGCAGGCCAGTTCCCAGCAGGGGACACACAACAGGCAACCATACTTTGATATTTCTCTCTCTCTCTCCTTCCCTTCTCCTCTAAAGATTAATAAAATCTTAAAAAAAAAAAGTGTTTAAAAAAGCAAAAACTTCACCAGCATCAACCAAATAAGAAAAAGTAAACAAACTTTACTCCAAGAATTCTGAAGAGTCAACCAGGAAAGAAACAAAAGTTTTCTCTGCTTGTACTCCCTAAAAGTTAGAACCAGGAAAGGAGGAGTCACCCATAGAATACTCACAAGTACCCTCCAATTTTAAGAAGCCATCAGAGGAAGTGGGTGAGTCATCCTGAAAAAGTGAAGGAGAGGTCTGCATATACCACAGGGGCTCAGGAGTGGCAGGGTGGGCTCTGGGCACTGACCGCCATGGGGGCAGGGGGAGTGCTGGGTTCCTGGGCCACCCCAGGAACTCAGTCTGGGAGAAAAGATAATCCAAAAAGGACTTAGTGGCTGTCTCAAGCTACTGATACTTTAATAAAGATAAGAATCCAATAAAATAGGTTCAAAGACAAGATAATAAATCAACAGAATAAAGCAAAAAGATTACAGAGCTAAGGAAAAAGATTTAGAACCAAATGACATTAATATGGCACTAATAAATAAATCAGAGCCGTAGAGAACAGAATAGACATGACTAAAAATTGAATAAGGGACAGAATGTCTGAAATTACTTTAGTAGATGCAGGAAAACTGGAAAACATCATCTCAAGATACTCAAAAGAAATATGATATGGAAGGCAAGGTGATGAAACAAAGAATTAGTCTCCTGTAATAGAAAATCTAGTAAGTATAACAGAAAATATTCAAAATGCAAATAAAAAAATTTTGCCTGAATTAAAGGAAGAAGTCGATCTGATCTCAGTATTCTCCAAAGCCATGCTCAAAATCAGAAGGTGATGGACAAGAACTGTCTAAAAAGATCTGAGGAAATGAGAGTACCCCAAGAATAGCATTCCCGATCATGGTCTTTTTTCAAATACAAGGGCAACAGCAGAAATTCTCAAACATGATTGAGTTCAAAACTATGACAGCCTCCAGCCTTTGCACTAAAAACCACCCGGAAAGCAATTCTGCCCTCTAGCACTTGTGAATGGAAAAGCCTGGAGGTGAGCACCGAACCTCTGAAATGCAGAACCCACATTGTCGCTGAAGGAATCACGGTGCAGCATGGAAAATGCCATACACCCTGACAAGGGAAACTGTAACTAACAACGAAAACTGGGAGTGAGTAAAGGAGGGTGAGTGTGAGATCACTGGAAATACATAAATTGGCCTCTGTTCCCAATTCTTGGCACAGGGCTACTAAAACCCTTGGAAATTCCTAAGTGATAAGAGCACCAGGAGCATCTTTTGTTCTAATGAGGAGACTCTGGGTAGGTTCCTGGATGGCTCCTCGATGGGGACTGGTCACAAGAAAGACGAAGCCATGACTAGAGGCCTGGAGTTCCCAGCAGCCCCCAGGAACCACCGCCACTTCTTCAGAGTTCATAACTGACCATGCCTCCACAAGGAACCTCCATGAAATCCCAACAGAACCAGGTCTGGAGAGTGTCCGGGTGGGTGAACACGCCTATACCAGGAAAGTGACACACTGCACCTCTAAGGGACAGACTCTCTGGCACACCAAGACCTCTCCCTCTGCCTCTCTCCATCAGCATCCTTTACCATCCTTCAACAAATGCAAATATAGGTGTTTCTCCGAGTTCTGTGAGCCACTCTGGCAAAGTAATCAAACCCCAGAAGGGGGTTGTTGGAACCTTCTCTGGGAACCTACAGCCAGTTGGTCAGAAGCACAGACACTCGTACCTGTGTGTGTCTGTGTGTCTGCGTGTGTCAGGGGGGCAGTCTCATCTCCAAGTGAAATTGTAGGGCACCTAACTGGTATCACAGAGAATTGCTTGCTGTGGGATAAAACCTCCTTACGTTTGGTGACCACTGGCAGAGTGAAGTGCTCTGTGTAACTATGTCTAAGTAAAGGAGAAGCACAGGAGGGAAGAACTGGATTTTCCCCAACACAGGAAGTAGGCAAAACCGAGTTTTTTCTAAACAATAGGGAGGGGTAGAAATTAAAATACTAATTGCCTCATCTCTCATAGCAGGAAGCCAATATTTTTGTTAAGTATATACAAAGTTAAATATAATACTTTATGTTTAAAAAGCAGTATCATGCAGGACACAGCCTATTCTTTTTGTTCTATTCTATTCTAAATTACTTCCACTTAGTTGTTCATCCATCCCTTTAACTAGGTATCTGAAAAGAAAGTCTCTAGAAGAATGGCCACCAAGAGTTAACACTGACCATTTCTGAGAGGTGGGATAACTGGGGGAATAATTAATGGTGGTCAGGGAGGTATACTTATGAGTGATTTTTGGTTTTTTTCTACTTTCCTATATATCTAGATTTTGAAATTTGTCCATGTATGTTGAAAAATTGAATGCCTATGGTCATAAAGGATAAATGAAGGACAACTGAGAATGATAAAGAAAAATGAGACTGAGAAAAGACTCTCCCACAGAGAGACGCAAACTATTTAAAGGCAGAAGAGCAGGAACAGGAATTAGCAGACAGAAAATGCAGACTGAGAAGTAATGGCCCTTAAAACTAATAAATGTTATTAGCATTTCAGTAATAAATCTAAATCCCATCTAAATGATAACTCCCAAATTCATACCTCTATCCCAGACCTTTCCATGAACTCCCGCATTTATATTCCATTATTTATTCAACATCTCTACCTGAAGACCTGACAAGTATTTCAAACATAATGTGTCCAAAACCAAAACCAAATTCTTCTTAATCTCTCCCCTCCAAACACACTCCTCTCTTACCTTTCCCCACTTCACTAAATTCAAGTCAAAAACTTGGAAGTCATCCTTCATCATCTCTTTCTCTCACACACTTACCCACCCAATCCAATCTCAGCAAATCCCATTGGCTCTATTTCTAACAAAACATAACCTCAGTCCCGTGACTTCTTGCCACCTTCTCTACTATCGGCCTTGTCCAGCCACATGGGTCTAGCCTGGATGACTAGAGCAGCCTCTAACAGGTTCCCAGCTCTCACTCTTACCACTCTATCTGCTCTCTAAACAACAAGCAGAGTGAGATTTTTAAAGTGTACATCAGATCATGTCACTCCTTTGCTCAAAACTTTCTAATGGCTCCCATCTTATTCAGAATAAAACACACAATCTTTACCACGCCCTACAAGCTCCCACATGATCTACATGGGCTCCTGCCTTACAGCCTCTGCACCTGTTCTTTCCTTCAGCCATAAGGTTCATTTGCTCGCTTCTTTCTGATCTCTGCTCCATTAATAACACCTACTCAGAGAGGACTTCCCTGACCTTTCCATTAAAATAGCACCCACACATCCTTTTCCTGCTTTATTGGGAGCAGGAAGTTTTTTTTCTCTTTGTTCATGGCTGTATCCAAGAGCTTAGAAAAGTATCTGACCCAAAGCAGGTGCTCAATATTTGTTAAATGAATGAATTAATCAAAGAACCCGGTATTCTATTTCTCTCACAACACTGCAAATGTCTTTCTTTACTTCTGATTCTCAGACTACTCTATATATTTCTATAATTCAGGCAGATATTACTTGCTCTTAGCAAGCAATACATGGAAGTTATGAGAAACTCTACAAAGCCCAAGAGTCGAGATTAGTTTCTGGTCAATCTCCCATGTGTGTGTTTGCGGGGAGGTGTGCATCAGTGAAGGCAGGAACAGTCACCAGAATCATGAACACGAGTCCCTGATGCGTGGAAGACAGCCCCGGCTGCCATACATCAGTTACAACAGAATGAAGCTTCAGAAACTAATGTTGGCTCAACTGTACCTGTCCCTGTTGGGTCACCTCCCTGGATCATGAAGTCTTTGATGATTCTGTGGAATTTGGTGCCATTGTAGTAACCTCGACGAGACAACTCGGCAAAATTCTTACAGGTCTTTGGAGCGTGCTTCCAGTACAGCTCCAGCACAATGGCCCCCATGCTGCAGGAGGGAGAGGGCGGGAGAGCGCCGGTCAGGAACAAGGTCACAGGAGACGGAATGACATGAGACCTCCAGGACTCTTCATTTTCAAGCTTGTATGTCATGCAATTGTGATACACATCAGATTTCATGCTCAGCAAGCAGAGCAACATAAGGTAAATAGCATAAACATAGTCCTCTTTTCTGTAAAACATACAGGGGCTTCTGGTATTTCTTTTAAGCAACATAACTGTGGACAACTAAAAATTTTAACTGTATACATTAAAAAAAATCACTGATCATCGAAAACTAATATAACCAACCCCTAAACTAGGAGAAACAAATCTTACGCTTAATTTGTAATTTTTTTAAAGAAAGACATTAAAATATCAGGAATTCAAATTTATCTACATATGTGAGTAAGTTTCTGGGTGGGGGTGGAAACTGGGTAAATAGAAGACAGGAAGGTTTTCAATGAATATCTTTTTAAACCACATAAATATATTACCTGTCATAAAAATTGGTTAATGGAAAAGATAGTTTGTGTGTATCTAGGAAGGGCCGCAACAAAGACAAAACCTGATTACTTCAAACCTTCGTACCTACCCAAAGCCATGAGTAGTACTGCTAAGGAAAAGGAAGAAGGAAAACATGTAGATGTCTTCCCCTCCCCATCACTCACCTAGACTTTAAACTTCAAGAAAGTGAGAACTGAGTCAACTCTGTATAGGCTGAATACCCAGTGCCAAGCACAGTGCAAGTAAACACTATAAATACTATAGATAGGTTCTTGGACACTGACTTCTAGGGAAACAACGTATAGTGAAACCAATTTTACCACAGGCTAACGGTTTGAACAAGAGTTCAGTTCCTGCGGCATACTTCTGGCCATAAAAACATCACCAAACTTCTAAAGAAAGACCCCAAACGCTTCTAATATTTTACATTGAAACAAATGTGAACTATACATCCTCTTAAGACTAATAAAGACAAGTTAAGACAATTAATTTCCAATCTGCTCGTTCCAGTTCAGGTTCTGGGGTGGCTGGAGCCTTACCCCAGCAGCTCAGGGAGAAAGGCAGGAATGGAGCCTCGACAGGTCACCCTTCCATCCTGGGCACAGTCAAACACACACACTCATTCAGACTGGGGTGATTTAGACACGCTAATTCACCTCATATGAAGGTCTGTGGGATGTAGGAGGAGAGCAGAGTACCTGGAGAAAACCCGTGCAGACATGGGGAGGACATGCGAACTCCAAAGATAGTGGCCCTGGGTAGGAATCTTTTTTTTTTCTTTCTCATTGTTGAAACAAAACTTTATTCAAGGACCTACTGTATATGTGGTATTTGCCAGGACATAGCTTTCTATTGGCAATTCATCCTTCACATTACTAATACGCAACACAGATGAACAATTACTCTGTGCAAGGCATGGTTCCAGGTGCTTTTCCCTTCGTGGAGCTCACATTCTGGGGGGTACTGGTAAAAATAGAGTTAGTACCTTTAGAATATCAACCAGAAAGCACCTGTACAAATTTAAAATGTGCATACTTTTTGACAGCAGTTTCAATGTCTAAGTATCTATTCTATAGAAAAACTTACTAAAGTGCTTGAGAATACAATGTGTGCAAGGATGTTCATTCCAATTACGTATCATAACAAAAAACAAGAAGTAAACTGATGCCCTTCAAAGAGGGAATGACTAAAATGTGAAATATCCATGTTATGGAAGGCTGTGTATATTAGTGAATGAAAGAAAATTATAGGAAAAAACAGAGATACAGTGTGATCATATGATCTTATGTTTGTTTAAAAAAAAAACAGAGCATAGCCTTGACTAGCATGGCTCAGCTGGTTGAGCAACATCCCAGAGTGAAATGTTGCTGGTGCGATTCCTGGTCAGGGCACATGCCTGGGTTGTGTGTTCAGTCCAAAGTTGGAATGTGTACAAGAGACAACAGATCGGTATTTCTCTCACACATGGATGTTTCTTTCCCTCTCTTGCTCTCTCCCTACCCCTCTCTCTAAAAATAAATTAAGTTAAAAAGTAAAAAATAGAACATAAAAAATGTTTGTATGTACATAGAAAAAGACCTGGAAGATAATTCAACAAACTACTAAATGTGTTTTTACAGGAGAATGGCTTTCAGTGCTTATTCTATAAACATCTATACTTCTTGGATATAAATTTCAACTTATTTTGTAGTTTAAAAAAATGTTACCAGGTGAGTTCAGAAATTACTTTCACGTTGGTGGTAGAATTTTGCCACATAAGAAGGTGGCAAAATGGTCTGGGAGCAAAAGCAGCATCTGGGAGAACTGTGCTGTGGTGGAATGCAGCGCAGGCAAGAACTAAAAGAAGGCAGAGATGGTGGCTGGACCCTGGCTGCTCATGGGGGAATGGTACTCAGGTAAGAAAAGGCCAAATGAAGAAAGTCACTTGAATGTCAGACTACAAAGTTTTAGTTTTAAAGTGCTGTCGAAGTAAGAAGTTACTTAATTTGTCCTACTTTGGAAAGATAATTTGGAACTTTTTCCCAAGAGGAAATTAAATGAATGAGGCTAAGGAAACTAGGACATGAGGCAGACATAACAGGCTCCAAATAAGGTTCCCCTACTTACCATGTGGCTTTGGTCGAGCCATTTAATCTGTAAGTTTTGACATTTCGCTGCTAAAATTGGAGGAAAGTGGAATAATACATACATAATTTGAGTTGTTAGAAGCATTAAACTAAATCCTTGCGATGTGATGCTGGTTGGTGCTCAGTTGTATCACTTTTGATAGTGGGGGAAATGTGTTTCTTCCTGTGTTCTAACAATTTGTTTATAAACTATAGTACTTACGACGTTACAACTGTACTACTTATCACGTTGCTATTTCTACAGCTCTCTCCTTCACTATATCATAAACTCCTAAAGGGTGGCTGTGTGTTTTATCCACCTCTGTATCCTCAAGTGCCAGATCCTACGTCCCCAGCCAGAAAGTATGGATGAACCGAGGGGCGGGAGCACAATAATCAGGCAGTTGTCGCTAAGGCCTCAGCACGAGTCGGTGCTGAGCTCGCTCGGATGCTGGCGGTGACGGTCCACACTCAGCTTTCACGGCCGCCGCTCCAAGGTTCTCCACGAGGCAGGAGAGCCCACCGGGAACCCAGCCCCGCGGTGAAGCCCGGGCTCCGCGTCGCCCCCGCCAGCGCAGCCGTAGAGGCCCGACTCCCCCTTACCTGGTCTCCAAATATACGTTGGGCGGTTGCCAGGAGTCCGGGGGAATTGCCGCCATAACGGAGCCGGCGGAATCTTTCTCAAGCAATTACTACTTCCGGCGTCGATTCGCTGGGGACCCGTCTGTGCAGCGCACACTTCCGGTCCCCTCCGTTTCACCCTTGCGCTACCAAGATTTGGGGAATTGAGAAAAGAAAAAGGAAAGACCCCCACCTCCACGGTTGGGAAGCTGGGGTGCACGGCGAAAACAGACTGGTCGCAAGGACGCAGAAAAATGCAAGCCGCCTTCGAGGTGGTCTCTGTGAGGAGCCAACGCGCCTCTCTCCGGACGCCTGATTGGTTCGTTTGGGCATGGAAGGCGGGAAAAACCAGCAAATATACACTCCGATTGGAGTCCCGTCCTAACTTTCAATTCTAAGAATTTCTTAGTCCCATAAGTCAGGGACCTTTAGGAGAGGAAGAGAATGAAAGGGAGTAGATAGGAGAGTTACCAGGAACTAGCTTTGACAAGGCTCTGTACAATTTACCTAGCACCCGCACTTTATTATCTTATCTACTGTAAAAGTAAATTTTGTTAGTCTCATTTTTTTTGCTTAGAATGAACTTTTTTTTTTGGTTAGAAAACATCGAATATAATCATGAGGTTCTTCTGTAAAATTTCCCAGTTGGTGTTTAATGGTGTGTTAAGTCCTGCATTGTGAAGGAACCTTGACACTGACGCGGCTGTGCGGTCTACCTGCTTCCTGCAGTGGGCACAACCTAGAAGGCTGTCCCAGTCGCGGAGCACTGGGAGTGAGCCCTGGGTGTGGAGGGGCGGGTTCTGGATCATGAGTCTTTGGGCACGTGGGGCCTGGCGATTTCTCCCCAGCTGTCTCCTATGTGGAGTTCGCGGTCGAGCACCTCAGTGTTAGGTCCGGCCGTCTGGGTGATCACTTCCAAAACTGCTGGGTCTATTTTACATCCCTGGCGTACTCCGGGGTCGTTTCTTAAAGCCATGAATGACCGCACATAAGGAACCTCGGTCCTCTTGCCCTGTTGGCGGCAGAAGAGGTCTATTTGAAGGGTAGTATTATAATTTAGATTGCCGTTTTCTGGCCAGACTTCCTGGTCTCCTGACTTGTAGTGCAGCCAGGCAGTGTTACTAAAGAAGGCTCATCTTTTTCATTTTAGGGTTTGGAGTCAAACTTGTCCTAATTCTTAAGGATGCATCATCCATGGGCAAGTCCTGAGTTTTGTTTTCCCATCAGGGTAGTGATACGAATCACTGCACCAAAAAAATGTCACCGGATCACTGGTGGTGTTCTGTAGACCTTGGTTCTTCTCTTCTCCTAGTAAGGAATTCAGTCAAGAGACACACGTTGCCCAAAGCAAGCAAGTTTGTTTATTAGAAAGGAGGAGAGTACACCTGGGAGGTTTCAAAGCAGGTGACTCAGAGCAAACTGAGTGCCTGTTCTCATTTTTCAGACGTGAAAACTCAGCAGTTAGATGACTTGTTTATTTGTTCATAGATATATAACAAATCCAAATCTTCAAACTTCAAAAGCCGAGATGCTAGGGAGAAAGGAAATGATCTGGAGGAAAATGAGAGTTAAGGAAAAGGAGTGAAGAATAAACAGCCACTGCCTCCTCACTATGTAAGCTGTTTTATAACAACATCTCTCAGCCTCATTCCACGTTCGGCTTGAATGCTCCCAGTTTGCAAACTGTTTTTGTTGTTCTTCGGGTTTGTTTGCACAATAAACTTTTGCTAATTATTCCAGTAATCCAGTGGTTTTACTTCCACTATTTCTGAACTTTTGACAACACTTAATCTTCAAAACCCCATGAGGTAAATATTATTCCCTTTTTACTTTGAGGAAACAGTTAATAATTTGCTCAAAGTACCACCGCTGTGAGCCTGTGCTTCAAGCACAGCTCAATCCTAGTTTCCTTCATCATCCAGTGGGAATAAGCTCAAATAGGTTGTGAAGGTCAAACCAGACAGCAAGTTCCTTTGAGAAAGGAACTGGGCCTCCCGCATCTCTTGCCCTCCTCACAGAGTACTGAGCATAAGGTGCTGAGGGTTCGTTGAAAGAATAGTGGACATAAAATGATGTTTTAAACTGATGAGTGCTGTGCTAAGGTAAGATGTGATTAATATCACACCTCCCACAGGCTTGTGTTCATGCCTTCTTTGTAAGCTTTGAGCTGGAAGGAAAAGTCTTTATCATTGGTTGTGTCTGTTGTTATTTGAGTTGCTTTTTTTCTGGATATTTTGTAGTTTCTTACTGTGTATTTTGGGAGGCTTAGGGCACAGTGAAGATACTTCAGAGTTTTACTGAAGAATAAGACAGTGGGCCCCAGTCGGGTAGCTCAGCTGCTTAGAGCATGGTCCCAATACGCCAAAGATGCAGGTTTGATCCCTGGTCACAGCACATACAAGAGTCAACCAGTGAATGAATAAATGAGTGGAACAACAAATCAGTGTTTCTCTCTCTCTCTCTCTCAAATCAGTAAATAATTTTTTTTAAAAAAGAGAATAAGGCAATGTCTTACTGTCTTACTCCAAAATCCTTCCTCAAGAGGCTCAACATTTGTTGATCTTTTTGTCCCCAAGAGAACATTGGGTGTCAGTGACTTCAGGAAGGAGTTGGCAAAGAGGCCTAGATTCCCTTTCTTAGTAATAACTAACAGTTCACATTAAATTAGAGTGATTTGTATTTACTTTATTTACCCTGTATCTAAGCTTACTGTATCATCTGAATAAATTTTATTAAAAAAAATTAAAACTCTTACAGAAGCATCATTTTTCAGGTTGGAAACCTTAAGATCATCCTTTCTCTCCAATTCCTCTAAGGGATGCATCATCAAGACCTGTTCAATTCTTATTCCAAAGATCCCCAGAATGTATCCCTTCCTTCTGTTTCAGACCCTTAACACCAGGATTATTTCAGAACCCCCCCGGCTGGATTCCTCGTCTCTGGATTTTCCCCACTAATCCATCCTATACACATACAGCAGCAAAAGCCTTCCTCCTGAAATTTCTTGTAGTATGTTGCTTTGCCATGAAATGTTAGGTAGTTTCCCTTTGCCTATTGAAATAAAGTCCCAAGCCACTTGACTTGGGCTTAAAGGCCCTTACTGACTCTCCTGCCTGATTTCCTACTATTTTATCCATGTTTAAATGTGCCACCAACGTTCCCACTCCTGGGCCTCTGTCAAGGCTGTTCTCTTTATTTGCAATGCTTCCCAAACCTCACCCATGCCTTAGTCCCAGCTCCTTCAGAAAAACCTCTATTTTCCCCGTCTACAGTAGGCTTTCTTCCCTTCTCTCTTCTTGGTCTTTAATTTGGTACCACCTTCCATTGGTGTCTAACTGCTTGTGTCAGATTCTCTTCTCTCCAAATACAATGTTAAGAGCCCACATTAGGGACCATGGACTAGTTTACTTCAGCTCAACATACACACAGGGCCTTTTCCAGACAAGCACAGAGAGTCTCCAATGGCTGAGAGGAGTGAAGACACCAACCCACAAACAAGCAGTTCTGTTACACAGGGTGCTATTACCTGGGAACCTTATCAATTGCTTTTCTAAATGAGATTTACCCATCATTTCTTTCCTTATCCTCTCCCCCAAACAAGTTCCTCCTCCTATGTCTCAAATCACTATTGTCCTATTCATCAGATGCCACTTTAAATTTTTTATTTATTTATTTATATTTAGAGACGGGAAGGGAGGAAGAAAGAGAGTAAGAGAAACATCGATGTGGGAGAGAAACATTGATCAGTTGCCTCTCACATGCCCCCCTGGGACAGGCCAGCGACCCAGGCATGTGTGTAACTGGGAATCAAACTGGTGACCTTTCACTCTGCCAGATGATGCCCAACCCACTGAGCCACACCAGCCAGGGCCACCGGACTCCTTACACTCCCTCAGCCACAACCCTACACACATTATAGGTTACCAAGAACTTACATACTCATGATCTGTTCTTAGTCTACACCAACCAGGTTTTAAGTGGAAGGCTCTGAGTAACAGGAGGAAGCAATCAGCTTCCGAGCCTACCAGGATTTCTTCTGTTCTAGAACCCACGCCTTTCTCCTGCTATCTTCTAAGCTTTTTCTCCTACCTGGCAGCCTTTCTGAGCTGTTTTTCCTGGGAAATGTTTCTTAAGTAAATTCTCATCCATCATTTTACCTAGATCATCAAAGTTGTTTTTCCCTTGAACTTTCCAATGTTAATTTTTCCTTTTCCAATCTAGCCTTTCTCCTCCACCGGATGTGTATGTCCATAGCAGAGCTCTGATCATGTCACACCCTTGCTCAAAAACCTGCAGTGGATCCCCATTGCCCACAGATTAAAGTCCTAACATTCGAGACCTTCCTGGCTGTGCAGACGTGATCTTTAAACATCGTTTTTTCTTCTATGAGTAGCCTCGGCCTCAGCTAGATAGATTAACATGCCAGGTTCCAAAAATGTGCCTGAAATGTTCATTTTCACGCTCCAATGTCCGATTCCTTACTGGCCATCTCCAAGCTCACTTTCTCCTTTAATCTTGTCCTGGCACACCTACCAGCCACCAGGCACTGAAGAAGATAGAGATGGGTCATGTGCACTGTGCTCAGCCCCAGAGGAACTCATGTTCTAGGAGAGAAAGACAATTAAACTCACAGCTACAGGAGAGTGACATGAGAGCTGTAATAAGGAAGCACATTGTGCTCTGGTTGTTTCAGAGCTGGCTCTAGGTGGTCAGAGATCTCTCTGGGAGTGATAACCTCAGCTGAGATCTGGCAAATGTTGAAGCCAGGAGAGATTTCTTTGAAGATCTGGAAAATTATAAAAAGCCTGGGAAGTCAAAAATTTCTTTGGCTGTCCTAGAGTTGAGTGTAAGGGAATCATAAAGGATCTTGGACCTTGATTCTGAGGGCAACAGGGACTCGTGAAATGACAGAATCAGATTTGTAGATTGGAAGCGTCGCTCAGGTGATAGGAAGGGCCAGAAAGACATGGGCTTTTTAGGGTATCCAGAGTCCCCAGAGCACTTTTTTTAAAGTGAAAATTTAAACTGAAGTATAACACACATCCAGAAAGGTGGACAGGTACTAAGTGTCACAGTTCAATTAATTATTACAAAATAAATCCACCTGTGCAACCATATCAAAACAAGAAAAAAAGTGTTCCAGCTCCACAGAAGCACCCCCATCAATCAGTGCTTCTCCCCACTCCCCAGAGGTAACTACTTTCTAAATTTATAGATATTTTAGGAATATAAGACACACCGGACTATAAGACCCACCTAGGTTTTTGAGGAGGGAAATAGAAAAAATATTTTTGAAGCAAAACATGTGGTAAAATATTTAATAACCTCCACAGCCACCACGCCCCTCCTCCACAGCAAGCCAGGCAAGCTACATTTTTCCCTTTCCCTCCCAAATTGGGGGGGTGCGTCTTATAGTCTGAAAACACGGTAGTTTTAAATTAGTTCCCTGATTTTAAAATTTATATAAATGGAGTCATAAAGTATTTTATGTCTCCATATTCTTTTGTCTCCATATTTGTGAGATGTATCCATGTCGTTGTATGTATTGGACATCATTTCATTTTTTCAGTGCTGTGTAGCATGAATATATTACAATATATTTATTTTATTGATGATGGGCATTTGGGATGTTTCCATACTGTGACTGTCATAAATGGTGATGTTATTAATATTCTTGTATGCCCCTTTTGCACTTGTGCATGAATTTTTGGGAGTGTATACCTGGAAGTAGAATTTCTGGGTAATAGGTTAAGTATATATTACAATTTGGTAGTTAACACCAGATTGTTTTCCAAAATGGCTGTAGCAATTTACAGTCCTACCAGCAGTGTGTGAGTTGCTGTTGCTTTGCTCCCTTGCTAACACTTAGTGTTGCCAATCTTTTTCATTAAGCAATTCTGGAGCTTGTATATTATCTTATCTTAGTGATCACTTGCCTGACAATTAATGATTAACGAAATTGAACACATTTTCACATGTGTATTTGCCATTCAGATGTCCTCTTTTTGTGTTCAAATTTTCAGACCATTTTTCTATTTGGCTTTTTTTCTAACAGAACATCTCAATTCCTACTAGCCACATTTCAAGCATTCAGTAGTCACTTGCATGGTGACAGTATTAGACGTGCTTTTAAAGTTTTGCTTTGTTTTCCTCATATAGATCTACAATGAACATAGAATTTTAATATATGATGTGAGGTAGGAGTCAAGTTTCATTTTTTCCTATATGGATACGCAGCTGATCCAGCACCGTTTATTGAATGTACTATCTTTTCCTCACTCCTTTGTTAATCTCTTTGTCTTGAAGCAAGTGTCTAAATATGAGTGGTTCTGTTTTTGGTTTCTCTGTTCTGCTTAATTGGTTTGCCTATTCCTGCCTCAATATCACACTACCTTTGTAGCTGTAGCTTTATTAGTCTGAACCCAATAGCATTTTGTTTGCAGATCTCTTGAAGAAAGCAATTCAAATCTTCAGCACTGAAGGCAGGACAAGGTAAGTAGCCTGGGTTCAAATCGCGACGCATATGTAACCTTAACGAGTTAACCTTTCCATAAGCCTCAGCTTGAGGGAAAATGTTGTAGTGCAACTTTTTTCATAGGGTCGTTGGGGCGACTTCACTAATATAAAGTGCTTAGTAATGTTCGGCACAAAGTAAGCTCTCAAAAAATACTGAGTGGGCCGTGTGTAAATTTGAGTTATATGCTGGTCTTTTTCTTTTTTAGACATGGAGCTCCCGGAGTAAAGGCCTGCCCTCCATTTACGTATTCATTTCCTGCCTACCTCTTAAAGCCTGTCACGCTACTTGGCATGCAGTAAAGGGCTCAATTAACGCTTGTTGAATTAATCAATTTGGGTACTTAGTCAATTGGGTACTTGTACAATTTGGGTACAATTTGGGTAGCGGAGGTAGGCCGCAGAACCTAACAAGGAAGGACTGGGAAGCACGGAAAAGGAAAAACTGAACACCAGGGGGAGCAAGAACCCGTGCTCTCCAGATATCGTGAGAATTCCCGACAAAGCACGTTCCGTTTGGGCGGAAACGCGACTCTGAGTGAAGGAGCTACCCTAGAGCAGGCGGTATTGCCAGTAGCTTGGCGGTTGCTTCCGGGTTGTGGTCTGAGAAGCAGGAAGTGATCGGCTTGTTGCCCAGCGGCTGCTGTCCCGAGGCGGGAGGAGCGCTGGGGGGCGCGGGCCCTGCAAGTGAGTGACTGGGGCCCGAGGCCGGGAGGGGGAGGTCGCTCAGTGACAGCGTCGCCGCCGCGCTGTCCCTCCCGCGTTGTGACATTCTTGCTCAGCCCCTCCCTTGCCCCCCACAGCCACCTCCTGTCCCTACGCTGACACCTTTTTTGAGTCTTTGGCGTTTTGCAGACTGATGGAATCCCCCAGCAACTCTCCGAAGTCGACTCCCTTAAAACATCTACCCTATTTTTCTTCGTTCTCCCTTTAATAGCAAAGCGAGGTCGACCCTATTTGTTTCGCAGCCACCACAGCGGTGTCCAGAACAGGAGAGATGCTAGCGAAATGTAGGTTTCACTGCTTTTGACAGATTTCTATTTTTTTGTATGTTGAGATAAGATTCTCTGACCCCCTCCGAAACATCTTTCTAGTTGTTAAAAGAGGGTTTTTTTTTCCATTGTGAATTTGGATTGTGATGAGCATGGCATTTGGATTACCGAAAGGAATATGACTTGGTGTGTTGACCTGAATAAATGAGCTATTTGTAATCGCCTTTTATTATGTTTTTTAATTTATTTTTAGACCGGGGGAGGGAAGAGGAGAGGGAGAGAAACATCAATGTGTAGTTGTCTCTCCCACGCCCCCTACTGGGGACCTGGCCCGCAACCCAGGCAGGTACCCTCACTGGGAATGCAACCGCGTTCGTGGTCCGGGGCTCCATGCACTGAGCCACACCAGTCAGGGCATGTAATTGCCTTTTAGTACAAGGAGTTCGCCTTCTTCATTCCATAGTATTTGAAGGGCAATAACCTTACGCCACATTTTCTGCTCTGAGAGCCCACATAGCCTTGGTATTCAAAAATATATTTCGTCATCACCTTATAATAGAGACTACTCCGGGGTATTATTAGGACTTTATCTGGGTGATCATTTGGTTGTTCACATGGTGGAACCTTATATGAACATCTCTTTGTTAATAAATTTGTTTGTGTTTTGAGTTATCACACTTTCTCTCTAAGGAACAACATGCCTTAACCTAAATTCAACTTTGAAATTGCGGGAGTTATATATAATATAAAATATAAAGTGATGTTTTCCCTCCCATCTTCTAAATCTTCTAACTGGGCTAATAATCAGATTAACAGGAGAAAACCAAAATTTTAGTATGTATGTGCAGAGAATTCACATAAGCATGAAATTCCCCAAGACAGTAAGGCAAATAGGCATATTCATCATTTTGGACAAAGGGGTAGGGGGTGGAATCTTAAATTTAAAAAGTGAGGTTGAGTGATTTACAAGAAATTGAGGACGAGTGGAACATCCTTGGCAGGTTAGTTTTTGCTAGGCAACCCAGAAAACAGTTTGTGGTGGTGGTGGACGGGATTGGCTCTGCTTGGAGTCTTCCAGTCTAAAGCTAAGGTGATTCTGTTAAGGTTCCCTTCCTGAAGCTTGTTTTTCCGTCTGACTCTCTTAGGTAGGAAAGGGGGGGGGGGTCAAAGGTGCTTTGAGTCTTTTAATTACTAACTTAAAGTTAATATCCCCAGAGGAACTTTAGGGTGGCAAAACTCAGTCCCTTTCACTATATCGAAGTTTTGACTGAAGTTCATAGCCCAACTTGCATGAACAGACTTGCTCTCCCAAACAGAGAGAGGCCCTGTTTGCCCTGTTAGGCCCTTCCTGCTTTGGACCAAAACATTTTTCAAGACCCAGATTTAATCACTTCCTTCACAGCTAACTCACAACACCACAGAGAATGTTCTATATAAGGATCCTGACCTGCCCGCCTAAACCTTCATTAGGCTAATACATATTTTAAAAATAGAAGAATAGACAGTGAAATGAATAAATAAAAAAGATTTTTATTATTTGTTTTTAGAGGGGAAGGGAAGGAGAAAGACAGGGAAACATCAATGTGTGGTTGCCTCTCACACAACCCCCCACTGGGGACAAGGCCCACAACCCAGGGATATGCCCTGACTGGGAATCGAACCAGTGACCCCTTGCTTTTCAGGCTGGCACTCAATCCACTGAACCACAACAGCCAGGGCTTAGGTCCTTTCTATAAGTTTGTTCCATAGATACTGATGAGGTTCCACATTTCTTAGGTGAATTTGCATGTCTGTTTTTAGTTCCTAAAATTGTTCCTATTTATCTCTGCTTTCGAGAAAAAATTAGTGTGTGTGTGAGAGAGAGAGATAAGAAGAAAATGTAATACAAAATGATAGAGTTGTCTTTAAGGTTCAAAGTGGAAAAGGTTTAAAAATCAAGGTTGGAAGAAAGAGTTCAATCATTGGACAAAACACTGGGGGCTAGGCTTTGTAGGCAGAGGGAATTATACGTACAAAAGAAAAAGATGTGAAACATTATGTTAGCGAAGAAAGTGAAGAAGGAATGGGAAATGAGACTGAACAGGTAGGCAGTGACCACATTATAAAGGGCCTTGCTAAGTAATTTGGACTTAATCTTATAACAAACAGTAAGTATTTAATTTGAGTATTGGGACAAATGTTTTACATACATCATTTTATAATTCCTTAACAACACTGTTGGAAAGACATACTTACTCCCATTTTATAAATGAAAACCGGGGCTTGGAGAAGTTAAGTACTGTCTCCTGGCCACACAGTAGATGGAGAATCTGGTATTTCATGCAGCTTTTCCCAACTCCAGTGCCTGTATTCTTAACCACCATGCCCAGCAGGGCATGTGGAATCAAGGAAGGAGCGTTAAATAGGTGAGTAATGTGAACCAGTTTCTGTTACAGAAAAATAACTTGTGCAGAGGATCAAGGGTAGATTAGCCAAGAGGAGATAACCTGAAAGTATAGGGATTAAATACATCTTTGTGATGGTCCTTGGGAGAGAGGTTTATGGCCTTAACTGCCATTAATGTAGAGCTAAAGAGGAGGCGATGAATGTGAGAATGATAGAGGTAGAATTGATGATTTAGTGATTGATTTATTGGTGAGGATGAAAAAGGAGGAGAAGAGGTTTTAAATTTGGAGAACTGATGTTTCTATTAAGAGAAGGAATGTAGTTGGAGAAATCAGTTGCAGGGGAAAAATAATCAGTTATGGACACATTACATGTAGGGGACTGTAGGAAATTTGGGTCTTGAGTTTGGGAGAGTTTTCTAGATTGGAAAAGAGATTCGGGACTCACTAATAGCTGGTTCTTAAAGCCATGGAGGGAATGAGAAGGTCAAGTACAGCTATGATTAATACCAACATTCAGGCACATAGACTCTGGGAAGAGAACTAGAGAATTATGCCGAGGTTTGAGAGCACTTGATAGAGTAGACACAGCAGCTGCTGCAGAGGGATCAGGTAAGTCGGTAACTGAAAAAAATGTCCTTTGGACTTGTCATTAGTGGCCTTAGTGAAAGCAGTATCAGTGGTGTGAGGGGGACAGAAATATGATTTTAACGGATTAATAAATGAATGGAGACTTAAGATGAAGTGATGCTTTTTTTTGAGCTTGGCTCCAAAGAGAGAATAGAGTGCATGCATTGGAAGTCTAAAGAGGAAGTATTATTATTTTTTAAATAGTGGAAAGTGGAAAAGGTGAGTATAGGAGCAAGTGGATAGAAGTTTTGTAATAGAGAATTAGTCATTTTAATAGTTATGATAATGATGCCTAATGTTCTAGAAAATAATGTCCTTATTCTTAGAAGATGCATCCTGAAACATTTAGAAGTGATTTTGTGATGTGTCACAACTAACTTTCAAATGGTTCTGGTAAAAGCAGAGACAAACAAAAAGCAAATATGGCCATGTGTTAACAATTGGTGAATCTAAGGATATACAGATGTTCACTGTCTGTTTCAGTGTTTCTGGAGGCTTGAAATTTTCAACATAAAAAGTTGGGAAAATAATGAAGAGGCATATTTTCAGTGAGTGAAGAAAGTCCCAGACTCTTCAAATCTCACTGAGCAGATGGCCAGAAAGGGGACTGTTAGATTCAAGTGATGATAGGAGTGGAAAAATAGAATTCTCTCAATTGTAAAGTTTAAGTACTTATTTTAATTTTAAATTGCTACTCTTTTAAGTTATGTTTTATCAATTATTTTTTCTTTAAATATGTCTGTTATTTCTTAGTGTTTTTTATTACAATCCAAAGACCACATTTTTCTCCTGTAGTAGAACATATCTTCAATTGATGGGAATCATTGGACAAAATATAATGGAATTATAACACTACACAATGGATTATCATACTACATAGGTAGCATAATACTAAAGAGCCTAGTAAGGGAGAAACAAAATATTTCTATGGATATTGCGCCCATTGCTGAAGATTGGGATGTATTTAGATGGGCTTTTGTAACTTTATTTCTCAACTGTACTGTTTCCTGGTTCGTGTTTTATCTAAATGAATCAGCATTACCTCTTAGAGTTGCTGAGCTGGCATAGTTGTTTAGTTTGGAAAGCTGAGAACCTCCGGGCTTTTGTTACGTCAGTATTTAGGACATATTTCTACCACTAGAGGAATTCTGTAATAAACAGGGCAAAGGAGTTTACATTTAGTCTGACCTCCTAATCTGTTTTCTGCCTTAAACATTTTTTTGATAAGTTTTATTAGAGTCATTCTACTACAACTCTGTCCTGTTTTTTCCGACGGTTAGACCCAGAAGGAGTTGTGGAGAACATTTCCTTAGAGCTCTCAGTTTCTCCCTCCTGTTCTTGAAGTACTCCTTCAAAAGTGGACAGCCCCTGGCTTACCTCCCCCGGCCCTCTCTTGAAAGCAGGCTTTAGCTATCTCAGTGATCTTCTAACATTTTGAGCAGGACGATTTCTTGTTGTGGGGTCTGTCCTGTACTCTATAGGGTGTTTAGTCTTCACCCACTAGATGCCAGTAGTACTCCCTCAGTTTTGACAATCAGAAATATCCTCAGATATCCCCAAATCTCCCCTGGGGAGCAGAAGCACCCCTAGTTGGGAACCGTTCCAAAACAGTGTCTCCTCGTTGCGGGTGTGCCTCTGGTCAGCAGGGAGAACCGCTCTCCCAGCGGTTCTGACAGTTCAGCACGTCCAGGGTGGTACCTGCGTGAAACCTTGGTTTTTGTAATGCTGCTAGTGATCCTGCCTGTGCCATGGCAGGTATAAGCCACTGTTAAGGGTCAAACTCACTCTTCAGAACTTCCCTCTGTGGCCAAATTCATTTCTGCCAGAGTTGGACCTGCTTTCTAGATGTAAAGAGATTGTAACAAGCCTCAGCTGATTTCACTCAGTCTCCACGTACTTGATGTTTAGCCGTGACTTTATGTTTGATTTTTTTCAGGGATATGGTTTTATTTTGATACAAACTGTTGTGTCTGAGGGCTGATTTTCAGTAGATCGCAGGGAGGG